TAGTCCCTTTATTAATCAGGGGTCATTCACACTAATACAGTACAGACAATTTGGCCTACCCAATTCCAGAAGAACCCAGACGAAACCCACTCGAACGCAGGTAGAACATGCAAACTCCACACAGAAACACCAACTGACCCAGCCGAGGCTCAAACCAGCGACCTTCTTGCTATCAGGCGACAGCACTACCTACTGCGCCACTGCGTCACCACTTGCATTCATCAGAATACTGAAAAAGTGTATCAAGGGGTTTATTAAGCAACATTGATGATTAAGCAACAATAATGTTCCTTGAGCTGCCAATCAGCTTATTAAAATGATTTCTGAAGGATCTTTAATGACGGGACTAATGTTATATTCTATAAGAAGAGTATAAAAAATTATTTATAATCATATTTTACAAGTGTGCAATCATTTTCAGGGACCACACGGCTAAAGTGGTTTTAGGCAGGTTTTGACTGCATTACACAGATCCATATTAGCATGCTGAATGTTTTCAGTTATTTCACAGCTAAAACTGCAATAATAATAGTAATAATAATGTCATTAAAACCAAAAGCTTTGGATGAGATGCATAAGAAACTATCCTTACACACAGGAGTGGTTTGAGGACAGAAACCTGACAAATCACTTGATACAACAAAACAGTCTTTATAACTGTACACTGTAGAAATTATATGATCAATTAGTCCTGACAGCGTAGGTTTATAGGTCATTGTTACTTATTAAACTAAGTTAATCATGTTCTAACCTAATCTAAATCAGATGCTTTGTTTCTAGTGAAGATTTAGAAAAACTTGTTCATGCTTTTATCAGCAGCAGGGTGGATTACTGTAATGGACTCCTCACTGGTCTTCCTAAAAAGACAGTCAGACAGTTGCAGCTCATCCAGAACACTGCAGCCAGAATTCTAACCAGAACCAAATAATCAGAGCACATCACACCTGTCCTCAGGTCTTTACACTGGCTGCCAGTTACATTCAGAATAGATTTTAAAGTATTATTACTGGTCTATAAATCACTAAATGGCCTAGGACCTAAATACATCACAGATATGCTCACTGAATACAAACCCAACAGATCACTCAGATCTTTAGGATCATATAAACTAGAAGTTCCAAGAGCTCAGTCAAAGCAGGGTGAATCGGCTTTTAGCCACTACACCCCTCGCTGCTGGAATCAGCTTCCAGAAATGATCAGATGTGCTCCAACATTAGGCACATTCAAATCAAGACTGAAAACACATCTGTTTAGCTGTGCCTTTACTAAATGAGCACTGTGCTGCGTCCGACAGATTGCACTATCATGTTTTTCTCTTCTTCTTCTTCATTCTTTTATATCACATTTTACCTGTTTTTATGTTTTGTTTTGTTTTGTTTTTACGCATTTTTATTATTTGTTTTTATTTTTATTTTACTTGTTTCTTTTATTCTTGTTTATGTAAAGCACTTTGAATTGCCATTGTGTATGAAATGTGCTATATAAATACACTTGCCTTGCCTTGCCTTGCCTAACCTAATTTGATAAATTACGCAAGCAGTTTTAAGTTAGTTTAACATAATATCAGGTCAATGGACTAATAAGGTTTCATTTGATTCAGCTTAAAAATCTAAGGCAACCAGGATTTTTATACAGTGTAGGTTAAGTAGAATAGTCAACTCTGTTCTATTGAATTATTAGAAAATAATGCACGCTTGATGTTATTAACCATTTAACAAGCATTGTAACCGTCTGGTCGACCTTTTATCCATAGGCTATTATTATTATTATTTTAACTGCTTACTACTATTTATGTCCCTTCACATTGTTACAAACATTGTTTTTTACGTTGAATAAAAAATTAAGATATTTTTTTGGTAAAACCTGTAACCACTGACTTTTATAATTTTTTTTTTATCCTTTAAAAGTCAATGGTTCCAGGTTATCACTTTTTTTCTAACCCATCTTCTTTAGTGTTTGACAAAATAAAAAAACTTATAACAATTTGTAACCACTTGAGGATGAGTCAAACTTAATTTTTGGCCAAACTATTCATTTAATTTTATTATGCAGTCTAAAAATACTAGGTTATTTCAACCCAATCCTTGGTAAAATTTGAACAAAATCAACAGCGGGGTTCATTTTTAAATTTTAATTAACAGTATTTAATTAACCCAACATTTGGGTTTGTCCATATTTTACCTAATTTGTGTTGAAATAACCAAACTTTTGTGAATATGTGTTTGTGTGTGTTATTTCTTACACATTGCTGCACTCTCAAAATTGTATTACTGATGTGTAAAATCCTACAAAATATATGTATAAAAGCTAGAGATGTCCAGATCTGATCACGTGATTGGAAATCGAGCCCGATCACACAGTTTCAGACTCCATCGGAATCAGACGTTACCTCCCGATCGGGACTTAAATATATATGTACATATATAGAGAGATTCTTAGTATTTTTGAACACATCTATAGGTATGCAGTAGCACAGAATTAGACTTCTTTCCTGACTTCGTACAGAAACAGCTACGTATGCGGCACAACATCACTTTTTTGCAGAGACGCTATTAGTTAAATGCTGGCAAAGTAGAACAGGGAAGCAGCTTGAAGCGGCAAGCATGATTATGTCTATGGTCTTGAGGTATTATAAAGTTGATGACGACAACATTGCCATGGTGCTCTTTGTTATTATATCAGATTTTTTTTTAATTACTGTTGCACTAAAGTCCAAAAGTGAAGAATTGATGTTATTTATTACTTGATTGTTCAAGCTACCTCGCAGAAGTGTTCTGTTTGTTAACAGAGTTGATGACGGTTAAAATAAGGTGAGTTAAATAAAAAATAAGGAACATCCTGGATCTATTTCTTCACACTTCGTTATTCTTTTTTAATGTATTATAGAAGTATCAGATCGGGTTTTGGTATTGGTAGATACTCAAAATCAAATGACTCAGACTTGGACTTAAGGGCAAAAAAAACTGATAGGGACATCCTTAATAATAAAACCTTAATTATTATCATTGATGCTCCTAAAAACTGTGCCTAAAACACATTATCTGCCAATGATCACTGATTACTTCAGCTTTGAGATTAACTGGTTTACTAAACATTAGCTCCCCTCAGCTGTGACTACTAACCGGCCCTGCACAGAAGCCACTCACTCGGCCACAGTTGTTTCCCACTTCTCTCTTCCTAAAGCAGCCATTGAAATGGGGTGTAAAAGTGGAGCAGCGGGTGTAGGGTGTCTTGGGGCCAGTGTGAACAGCTGAGAGGTGTGATTTCACGGCTCTGATTGGGCTGGACAGCAGGCCCCAGATCCTAAAGGACACCAACAGGTGGAGCAGCGCGGGGCCGAGGGGGAGTATAAGGGACGGCGAGCACTTGAAAAGCCCAGGAGCGAGTGGCCACGTCTGGACAGAAACCAACAGCCACGCAAAGAGGACGGTACACTGTAGCACTCAGAAGAAGAGGAGAGATGTGGACTGAGAGGTGTGGGGAGAGCTTTCATTTGGTTCTAGTTGAGGGAGCTTTGTTGTTTTTAGTACTGTTTTATTGTTATTGGAAATAGTCAGTTGATAGCATTTGAGGCTTTTGTATTTTTTACATTTAAATTTGTAAAGTTTTTTTATATTATTATTATTATTATTATTATTATTATTATTATTATATGCAGCTCTGGAGACCACTAATTGCTTTTTTTATTTGCCATTAATATAAAAATGTTTTGAGTAGAATGCTTATTTGTTTTTTATTTTGTTTTTACTGACAGCGTGTCTTCAGCGTTAGAATTTTGTATATAAATATTTGCACCTATTAGTAAGTGACATTTGGTCAATATAAAATATTGGGGAAGATATGTATATATGTAAAATACATTTATGCAATTTTTTTTTTTTTTTTTGCAGTATTTTAGGGTCTAAAAACATGAAATACATAGTATTAACTAACTGTTTTTACATATACATTTTCTAAATGATGACATTCTTACTTTAAAGACACTTTTTAAATAGGATTTTTATAAGATGAAATGTAAATGAACATTAATCATTTCATACTAATGGCAAATCTAGAAAACCAATAATATTTTTTTTTCGATTTGTTTAATTTCAGGAATTTTTTTAAATGTTATTATTTTGTTTTACAGAGCTGTATATGTAAATTAAATAAATACATTTAAATTTATTCAATTCAACAGTTTTAATGTATTTTTAAAGTATTTTCTAATTTTTTAATTGACAATGCTAAAAAAATGCCATTTTTTAAAAATTGATTTCAGATAAAAATGATGCAACGGCCTGCATTTTATTAGAACTACAGTTTTTTTGCCACGTTTTTTCTTTAACAATACGTAGTTACTCCTTATATATTACCTCCAATTAGATTTTTTTTCTTCCTGAGATGCTGGATGACATCTCATTTTTTTTACGAGGCAGCAAATGGAAGATTTGACACTTCTGTCTCTGGAAATGGTGTTGTTAAAGGAAATGGAGGTATTAGCGCGTTTTCACCTGAGGTGTCGTAGCTCAACTTTGATCTACTGTATATCAAGCTCCTACGTCAAGAAAGAGTCTAAATGGGGCAGTTTGGCCACATGTCACAATAGAAAACCAGGTCTATTTAGATGCAAGATAGATGTCAGAGTGCTAGATGTGCTAGTCCTCTTCTGCTTGACTGGCCTTCCTCCATGTAGTTCTCTGTCTATGGACACACACACACACACGCAAAAAAACAACAATGTGAAGGAAGAGACAACTGCACACAGGTAAATGCACTTTTCTTTGCACATTAACTGTAATATACCTCATTTGACACAATGTAAATTTTTATCTGTGCTTTAAAATGAAGGACACATGTCTGTAGTCATGAAGAAATACTGCTTTCTGCCCAAAGCTTTGGTTGATCTGAAGTTAGTGTTGTGTATCTTCATTTAATATATAACTTAAACAAATGATTAAATGAAAAAATATATATACTAAAAATGTGTCTGTATGTGTGCCTGTTCTTTGAAGGAAACTGAATGTTGCCTCTTGTGAAGACATGCTTCCTTATATGCCCATATTAATGCTCAAGTTATGGAATGTAAGGAAGTGTGTGGTTTCAGGGGGAAATTTGTCTACAGTATCAAAACAGACAATGATAAACTGACTAATTATAACTAAATTGTATAATTTCAGCTTTAGGTCGAGGTAAATTGCTGTCATTTTGAGCTCTGATATAGCATTTGTTCATAATAGACTACTTGTATATAGATTCTTACAGCACTTAGTCTGGTGGTAAACCTATTGTTTGAGTTGGTTAACAGTTCATAAGCCTCCACACCAAGATTATCAAGCCAAGTTATACATACCTTTTACCGTATTCTGCTTCGTTTCGTACACAATTTTGGAAGTAGTTAGCGGATTCCTCTATTTAACATTTACCTTGCGCATACGCTGTTGTGCGAGGTCACTCCCGGTGACGAAAAATACGTCACCAGAACAGCGTGCGTCCGAAGGGTACTTTATATATGAGTATCATTTTTCACTGAATCACACTTCTACTGAAGATCCTGGACAGACTGACAGAGCACAGCTGTCTCCTTACTTCAAACCTTCAGGGTTTCCTAGAGAAGAGAGAGGCTACTTTTCTTAATCATCAGCATATTACCAGGATTCATCCATCAGCTGTAGTAAAAGTGTAGTAACTATAGATTTCAGTGCTTTGGTTGTTTTTTTCATAACTACTGTTCGAAAAGGATAGTTCACCACATGCGAGTCACTATTAACTTACCCTCAAGTGTTCCCAAACCTTTATGAGTTTCTTTCTTCTGTTGAGCACTAAATATGATATTTTAAAGAAAGCTGAAAACCTTAAACCAATGACTTTAATTGTAGGAAAAACTAATAGTTTGGAAGGCAATGGTTGCAGGTTTCTAACATTTATAAACCTTTGTGTTCAGCAGAAGATAGAAACTCAAACTGGTTTGAAACAAGGCAAGGGAGTTTTCATTTTGGGTGAACTATCCCTTTAACTACAAATACACTGGCCAATGTAGCCTATAGCCATACCACGGTTGATTTGTTTTTACCATGGTTTATCTACAATAAACTTTGTTTTGTTTGCTCTACATCCATGGATAATTTTCATAAGGGTTTAAATGTTGTCTCACTGCAGAAGATGCAGAAACCATTTGTACATTTGGCTAATTTGTTGAAATGATTAATTGTACTTTTGTCTTCAACAGGTAAGCGAGGAGAACAGTTTGCTGAAGATTGTCAACATAGGCTCTGTTAGTCTTCTTCCGTCTCTTTCTGAAGCAACACGCCTTGCTGTGGCTGGTCAAATGGAACCAAGTCAGGTGTTTCTGCGAGGTTTGGTCCCCTTCAACCAGCTACTGCGTCGTGAATACAGCCTACATATAGACCAAAGATTAAAAGAGAGTATACATCTGCTTAAAATGCTCTAACACTGTCTTTTTTGAAAAATAAAATAATGTTCAATAAACTATTTTACTGCTGCAATGTTGTGTTCATTTCCTTCTTAATTATAATTGAAGAAATTATTTGATAATGAGCATTCAGTCCCTAAGCTTGCATTCAGTGTCTCTTTAAAAATATATGCACTTAATTAAATTCATCTGCACTCGCTTAATAAAGAAAAACAAACATTTTTCATGTTTTTTAAAGCTTAATGTGTTGGCTGATGTACACTGTAAAATAATTGTTGACAGTAGCATGGGTGTTTATTTACAATTTTGTAAATTATTGCATTTTGAAACATTGATTTCTGGTCTGACATTTGGATTTTTAATCACAATTCTTCCAGCTCAGATCCAAATGTACCAATAGATAATTAAAGAAATGTGCCCAAGCCTCCATTACTACAGTATTTTGAAAACATGACATCAGAAAATGCAGGTAATCAAAGTTCAAATAAATCCTTTTGTTGGAGTCTGTTGGAGATATTCATATTGGTCTCTATACTTTTTTGATGGCTTCAATATGGTGGGTATCTTATTGTAGCCTGGAAAAAGTAAATAATAAATACTATAGTGTTTTTACTATACTATAGTGAAGTGTATTATACTTTATATATTATAGTAATTAGTTACAGCTTAATTAATGCTGCAGCATACTGGTGAACTGTTACTACTGAACTACTGATAAGTGTAGTATTATTTATATAGGTTTATACAACAGTTCTGTCTGGTACTCGAATCTGATTGGCTGATAGCCGTGATATATTTAAGTAATATCAGCACCCGTACAGCCTCTTTACTCTTTGTGTATTACTACGCCCACATACAGCCAGCAAAAAGCATGCACTACAGATCTAAAGTTTAAAAGATGCTTGCTCAGCTGTTTAACTGTCAGCTTATGATTTGAATCCAACGCGGAAGAAAGTAGTTCCTTATACAAAAGGGTTCCTCATACAAACTCTCTATGTTTGACTTTGTTTTTATATACACAATTATGCCATCAAGCTGTTGTATAAACGCAGTATCAAACGCATAGGAGTGCGAAATGACTGTATTTCGACAGTGGTGGGGGCACTAAGGCACTCTGCCTGCGACCTCGTGCCAACGCACGCCTCCCACCAGTGCCGATATACAGCCATATCGCACTGCTACTCGTGTAATATTGCTCATGTAGAAAGCATTAATTCCAGTAATTTACTATAGAATGATTCAAAAACACTATAGTACACTGTAGTCAGGGATAGGCAGTATTTAAGAGACATGGATTTCAAATAAATATTTTAAATGCAAAATAGCATTTTGTAATTTGTATTTTATGGGGTTTAGGAAAATGGGTTAATATTTTGTATCAAAATACTTTAGTGTCTTGTATTTTTTTTTTTTTTACTTTTATTTTTCAATATATTTTTTACAGAACAACCCCTTCCCCAACATTTTAACCCCTTACAGATGAGGGGATATACATAAAAATGAAATTAGAATTGAAAAAGAAATCTGTTAAAAGAAAATAATAAAAATAAAAATAAATTAATTAAAAGGCATTGCCATCATAATTACTTTACAGGAATACATTTGCACATCAAGTTACTTTGTGTTGCATTGTAGTTACCTCAAACTACAGTGATGATAGGTTAAGTATCCTCCAAATATACATATCTAAATGTGTCATATTACTTTTCCACCTCTTCAGAAAAATATCAGTCTACCTTTGTAGACATGCAGTATTTTTCCCCATTATATAGACCTGTTTAAGTCTGTGAATCCACTGAGCCTTTGGATAACTCTCTTTCATCCAATATACTGTTATCATTTTTTTTTTTTTTTTTTTTTTGCAACCAGTAATAATATCCTTGGAACAAATCTTGTTTCTTCATTAAACATTTCTTTAGGCTGTGATCCCAGTAAGCACATAACTTGATCAAGGTGTATGTCAATACCTAATATCTTATCTATTTCTTTTTTTAACGTTTTTCCAAAATTCTTGAATCTTACAGTCCCAAAAAATGTGGGTATGATCTCCAGTTTTACCACATTTTCTCCAACTCAAGGCAACAATTGATCCTTTAACATATGTAGATAATACAAAGGGAGTCCGGTCACACTTTACAATAATTTTCATTAGTTAATGTTAATTTATGCATTTACTAACATGAACAAACAATGAACAATACATTTACTACTGTATTTGTTAACATCAGTTAATGAAAATACAGTAGTTCATTGTTAGTTCATGTTAACCCATGGTGCATTAACTAATGTTAACAAGCATTGACTTGGATGTTAATAATGCATTAGTAAATGTTCAATTATGATTAATAATTGTGTTGTTCATAATTAGTTCATGTTAGTAAATGCATTAACTAATGAGCCTTATTGTAAAGTGTAACCGTAGTCTTAAAGTACCTCATTTTTACTTTCCAATCAAATTTTTTCCATAATTGACTATTAATTCCTTTATGACATCCTTCACATAACTCAATCCAGACCTCAGCCTCTATTATGGCATTTAGTTCTAGTTTAGTGTCTTGTATTTTTATGTTTTTAAAATACTATAAAATACTTTGTAAGAAATCTATATCAAAACATAATATAAATGCACCCTCTGAGCTTCGGAGAAAGGGTATACTGTACAAATAATAATAGGTTTAGATGGATTGCTGATGCCGAATGATTGTCATTAAAACAAACAACAGAAGTAAGTCCTACAGTGGCGATTCCTAATACTTCTTTGGCTGTTTCAAACGCCAGTAGTTGATCAGTAGGTCCACTGTATAGTTAATGAAGAGAAAAGATGTAAGCCTTTAGATGTCACAACCTATGAAACAATGTTCAGAAACTACAAATACAGTTTTTACTTTAAATAATGACAAGTTCAATAGCAAAAAAATGATTTAAGAAAAATTCTGTGAACAAAAATTTTTAATTAACTCTTTATTTAACACCCTTTTAAAATATTAAGAGGTTGAATAATCAATGAACAGAAATTTGCCCTCAACATTGTTTACTTCACTATGTCAGTTTAATGGGGAAGGCACTGATTGGATAGGTCTTATTGATGGAGGATTTGCAAAGAAATGTCATGCTCCTCTGTAAAATAATTTTGTTATATTTTTAAAATACAAAATACAGTATTTCATTTTGATACTTGTGGCTGCTGTACTTTATAGTTCATTTTGATACATGTAAAGTTGGGGTATTTGGTTTTTAATTTTAAAATACATTTCAATGTAAATCTACATTGACTCGCTTTTAAAAGTCGCTTTACTTTTAACACTCTCACGCCTCCTGCTGGGGTCGATTGTAACAACTGCAACAAATCTGTCGGCTATCTGTAAAGTTATAGAGAACATCTTCTCGGATTGGTAGAACAAGTTTTACAAAGAATAAAAAGTACTACACTGAACTAGAGTACTTTCTTCTCTTTCATTAACGCATTCAGTTTTTCTGAATATTATAAATGTACATACGGAAAGTTTCTATTGGAATAATCTGCAATATTCCATCACAAAAATGACATTAGTATTTATATAGATTATGAATATATTTAAAAGGAGATTAAACCCTACCGGTTAAATTTAAATATATAAAATAAAAAGCACAGTGGTTTATCTTCTTTTACCATTACACTTACAGTCTTTGACCACCAGGTGGCTCTAG